TTTTTTTTGAGACAGTTTCCCTCTTGTTGCCCAGGCTGGAGTGCAATGGCACGATCTTGGCTCACTGCAGCCTCCACCACCTGGGTTCAAGCAATTCTCTAGCCTCAGCCTCCCGAGTAGCTGGGATTTTTGCCACCATGCCTGGCTAATTTTTGTATTTTTAGTAGAGATAGGGGTTTCACCACATTCGCCAGGCTGGTCTCGAACTCCTGACCTCAGATGATCTGCCCACCTTGGTCTCCCAAGTAATGACCAATCTTGACTCATCTACACCCGAATTCATTTCCACTTCTCTTAGATAATGATATGGATTCAAGAAGCAAAGTTTACAAATAATGAAGAGGGAAGATTATTTTTTAGACTTCTATATTCTGTACTTCAGTGCCCCAAAGCTAAGCTTTTGTGCCTAACCTACAGTGCTCATGTTACAGACTGTATTACCAGAAGTGTAAAGTTTGGTTGCTTTCGTATTTCAGGTCAGCAAATTAAAACGTCATATTCGCTCTCATACTGGAGAGCGTCCATTTCAGTGCAGTTTGTGCAGTTATGCCAGCAGGGACACATACAAGCTGAAAAGGCACATGAGAACCCATTCAGGTAGGACTTCTCCTTTCCTTATCGTATTAATGAGCTGCTTTTCAGTGAATCCCATGGGACCCTGTGGACCACTGTGTGCCCCCCATTGTTTACGAGACTGGAAGACTGGCGTGAAAGTAGTGTGGAATTAATGAATGCCTCTCTGGCATGTCCTGTAAATTCATTGTTCTGAAAATATGTTAGAGAATAGTACCTTTGTTTTGTTCAACTGGAATCTGCCTACAACATGAAAATAATACTTTTTAAAGGAGAAATGAAGTTAAAATGGACTTTAAAAGTCTAGATAGATTTCCTAACCCACCTTATTCAGTTTTCCTGAGTATTGTCTTTTTCTAAAAAGAAAAACTTGTGGGTTCTCCATTCAGTCTCCCCAAAAGCATTGCTGTAATTTGGAGGATTTTGTAGCAGAGCTGGGTAGAGCAGAGGTGGCCAGGGCCAGCAGCAATTCAGGACTTGGCCATATCTGAAGATAGATGTGATCAGGGCACTGGGACTGAGCCTCAGCCTTCCTAAGACCTGTAGAATCTCTGTGGTGTAGCATATCTGCTGCCTGAGTTACCTTCCCATTACAGTGTTAATTTCATTTCATGTGTTCTGTATTGTCTTTAAAGGGGAAAAGCCTTATGAATGTTATATTTGTCATGCTCGATTTACCCAAAGTGGTACCATGAAGATGCACATTTTACAGAAGCACACAGAAAATGTGGCCAAATTTCACTGTCCCCACTGTGACACAGTCATAGCCCGAAAAAGTGATTTGGGTAAGTAGATTAACTAGTGACAAGTGAAAAAAATGTTTTGAAGGATTTATATTTCAAAATATGGGGATCATAAATAACTTTACCTTCTGACTCTCACAAATATTATATATAGGAACGGCCTGTCAGTAAAGCCATTGCTTAGCTGCTTTTTTTTTTTTTTTTTCCCTCCTTCTTACCTGTTTTTCTTACTGCAGTCAGGCCACAAGATTCTGTCCTGAATAAAACTCATCTATAAATTAATGGGAGCTGTGATGGGAGGAATCAGAGTACACCTTTAATTAGTAGCCCTCCTTCCCCACATAGGGAAGTAATAGTGTGATTCAAACTCAGGTCAATCTATTTTATTTTATTTCTGAGAACATTTATACTTTCTCTAAGTAACGAGTGTTTTATTGGTTTAGTGGTAACTATTTCTGTGCATAAACTAGAGTTTACATAGAATAGTTTATTAATAACATTTAGTGTAACTGATACTGAAAGATAGTCACTTGGATTGCCTGCTGTGTTTTTCTTATTCAAAACAGAAATAATATTGTCCGTTGTGCATTTATTAGTTACATTGTTATAGTTTGCATATTTTATTTTACTTCATTTGCTCATTGATCTTCAAAACAACCATATGAAGTAATGAAGGCTTATCTTACTCTGATTTTATAGGTGATAAGCCTAAGGCTCAGAGAACTGTCTTTACCAAAGCTTTGCAACACAGCTTCTGGGTGGCAAAACCAAGCTAAGTCCTCTCGAGTCCTCCTCAGCTGCTTCTCACACTAGGGTGTGTACAAGTTACCCAGGCCATAGCAGCAGGCTGCCCAGCCCCAACATAAACATGGCCTGTCTTACTGCAGCATTGGTTTTACTCAAAAGAGTTTTGAGGAAACTTTATGAAATTTAGCTGCTCCCCTCCCCCACCCCCCGAGACGGGAGTCTCGCTCTGTGGCCAGACTGGAGTGCAGTGGCGCAGTCTTGGCTCACTGCAACCTCCACCCCCCCGGATTCAAGCGATTTTCCTGCCTCAGCCTCCTGAGTAATTGGGATTACAGGCTCTTGCCACCATACCCAGCTAATTTTGTATTTTTAGTCGAAACGGGGTTACACCATGTTGGCCAGGCTAGTCTCGAACTCCTGACCTCATGTGAGCCACCGTGCCTGGCCAATGTCACATATATTTTGAAGATGAAACCATGAGTTTGAAGTAAAGGACTTGGGCTCCACATAAGACCTGTGAGTCACACATTCGCTCTAGTCAGCTATTAGGAGCTTTGTGTTAGAAATTAAATATTTCCTGAGGCTCTGTTCTCAAAAAAAAAAAAAAAGAATTTTACATATGTGTCACATAGAAACTAAAATCTAACCCAGTGATGCCTCCCATGTAGTGTGTGTGAACCATCAGGCTACTGTCTGAATTATCCCATTTTAAAAAATTACTCACTATGATGCAGATAAAACCTTGGGTGTTTTATATTCACATGATACTTCTTAGACTCTATATAATGAGCTCTTTATGAGGCACTTAATTGCATATGAGCTATGAAATAATAGTTATTGGCCAGGTATGGTGGCTCGTGCCTGTAATCCCAGCATTTTGGGAGGCCAAGGCAGGCGGATCATTTGAGGCCAGGAGTTCGAGACTAGAATGGCCAACATGGTGAAACCAAGTCTTTTCTAAAAATACAAAGGTTAGCCAGGCATGGTGGCACATGCCTTTAATCCCAGCTACTCAGAGGAGTCCGAGGCAGGAGAACCACTTGAACCCAGGAGGCATAGGTTGCAGTGAGCCGAGATTGTGCCACTGTACTTTAGCCTGGGCAACAGAACAAGACTCCGTAAAAAAAAAAAAAAAAAAAAGTGTGGGGGGCTGGGTGCAGTGGCTCACGCCTGTAATTCCAACACTTGAGGAGGCTGAAGTTGGTGGATCACTTGATGTCAGTTCAAGACCAGCCTGGCCAACATGGTGAAACCTCATCTTCTACTAAAGAAATACAAAAATAAGCCGGGCGCGGTGGCTCAAGCCTGTAATCCCAGCACTTTCGGAGGCCGAGGCGGGTGGATCACAAGGTCAAGAGATCGAGACCATCCTGGTCAACACGGTGAAACCCCGTCTCTACTAAAAATACAAAAAATTAGCTGGGCATGGTGGCGTGTGCCTGTAATCCTAACTACTCAGGAGGCTGAGGCAGGAGAATTGCCTGAACCCAGGAGGCGGAGGCTGCGGTGAGCCGAGATTGCGCCATTGCACTCCTGCCTGGATAACAAGAGCGAAACTCCATCCCAAAAAAAAAAAAAGAAATACAAAAATAAGTTGGGCATGGTGGCAAGTGCCTGTAATCCCAACCACTATGGAGACCGAGGCAAAAGAATTGCTTGAAACTGGGAGGTAGAGGTTGCAGTGAATGAGAGCGTGTCACTACACTTCAGTCTCGGCAGTGGAGCAAGATTCTTAAACATTAGCCGGACGTGGTGGTACACGCCTGTAGTCCCAGGAGAATCCCTTGAATCCTGGAGGCGGAGGTTGCAGTGAGCTGACATCTCGACACTGCACTCCAGTCTGGGTGACTGAGCACAAGACACTGTCTCAAAAGAAAAAAAGCTAGCCAGGCACAGTGGCTCATGTTTGTAATCCCAGCACTTAGGGAGGCGGAAGCCAGTGGATCACCTCAGGTCAGGACTTCAAGACCATCCTGGCCAACATGGTGAAACCCTGTCTCTACTAAAAATACAAAAATTAGCTGGGTGTGGTGGCTTGCGCCTTTAGTTCCAACTACTCTGGAGTCTGAGGCAGGAGAATCCCTTGAACCTGGGGGAGGGGGTGGAGGTTGCAGTGAGCTGAGATCATGCCACTGCACTCCAGCCTAAGTGACAGAGTGATTCTGTCCCCTCCCCAAAAAAATAAAAGCCAATTCTAAAATAGTTTGCTTTTCCTCTTTTAAAGCAGGCCAGACTTCACACTAATAAACATGAGTAACAAATAAAAAATGAGAGCCATCCTCTCCCTTACCTCCTATCTACTCCCAATAATTGGCTCTCTTTAAAAGTTTGGTGGGATATCACCTCAATTAATATAAGTTGTAATATTGTATATATATAAATTCATGATCTCAAATGTAGGGCCCTCACTGCTCCTGGCCATTGCAGCTGTTTGTTCTTGTCAGATATGCTCCAGTTCTTCTTTATGAATGAGCAAGTTCATTTTACAATGTTTGGTGCTTCCTATATAGAGTTGGGCACTTTCACTTTTTTTTTTTTTTTTTTTTTTTTTTTTTTTTTTTTTTTT